AAGTTGGATGGTTAGGCTTCTGATGGCATGTGTTGTCCATAACATTTTGTAATTATGGCAAGTTGGATGGTTAGGCTTCTGATGGCATGTGTTGTCCATAACATAGCTTCTGAGGGACTATACTGATACAGTATTACCTTGTTGTGACTTTGGGCGTTTCCAGAATAGAGGATTGGCGTGTTTTTGGACGCCAAATACACTTGTGGCCCAAACCCATGACGCGGACCGAAAACGCTCTCAATCTGCACCCTTGTGGGGGCCAGGTTAAGGTTAACAGTGTTAACAAAACCTGTGTGCGCTACACTAAAGATTTCTTGTGTGAGTAATGGACAGAGGACTTTGAGAGGAGAGCTCTTTGGACAGTAAACTTGGCAACTTGTTAGAAACAAACAAAGTCCAGACCAAGCATTTCCTCCTTGACTAGATATCAAGAGGGCTCAATAGTGGTGCCGCTAGCGTCGGATAGGAAGTCCTCCATACAGGAAGTTGATACGGGAAGTTCATGGTTTAGGGACTTTGGCGCAGCCCCTTCCCCAGTTCGTACCCTTAAATAGGTGTAGATGGTCCCAAATAGTGGGTATTTAGGGTATATAGACAGTAGAGGGAGGGTTCAACTTAGACCCCTATCCAGAGTAATCAAAGACCCTTCAGATAAGGGCAGAAAAAACACAACCTTAGCTGCACAAGCTTGGATATATGTACATTTATTAACTGAGGCTAAGTAGACAGTAAACCCGTAGACATCAGTATCTTTACAATGACTCGGCCCCAAACCCTACACCCTACAGGCCCGAAACCTCTACAAGCACCAACCCAGCCTGAAACTCCTGGGAAGGTTGTAACAATTCCAGCTCGGAAATAAGATCATTTTGCGGTTTTTATATTAACCATCTAGGGTGAGGTCGTTGTGATTGATGTACTTGGAGGGTCAGGGGGACTTAGTAAGTAGGTTAATGACCCCTATAACCTATACAATAACCCTACTTATTCCCATTATTAACCTAGTTACTAAGTCCCCTGACCCTCCAAGTAGGGTTTAGGGTTTGGCGGTTGGGGTTTTATCTTATGAGCTCCCTTGGAGGATGCTGAGGGCGGAGAAAATGTACCCCTGCTTGGGGCACCCACATTGCACTAGAAAGAAAAAGGATCCTTTGTACATGAGTATCAAAATCCCATACCCAAAAAAATGAAGGCTCCCTAACATTGATCCAGGTTTGGGGCTAGGGTTTAAGCAGTGTAGGGGTTGGGGGGTTCTGGGTTTAGGCGTGGGGGATGATTTCTTACGGTGTGTGGTTTAGGGCTTAGAGTTTTTAGGGTTTAGTGGGTTTATAGGGTTTAGGGTTTGGGGTTCAGCCTCCAGAAAGGCAAGGTTCCTAATGGGGACGCCAAACAAGGAACCCCCAAGAATATTGCAGGAATATGATAGGAATGTACCTATTCGGGTCCTTACACTTCTACTAGATTCCTACAATATTGTTGGGACTCCGTGTTTGGAGTTCTCAGTAGAGTCCTTTTGCAGAAGTGACAGGTAACCCTTCCAGGAATTCAACAGGCTGCCGCCATGTTGAAAGAAGGCTATGCATTGTTGTGTTGATGTTATATATATATATAGTAAATAATAGGGTTTCCCCAATATAGTAACTTAATTTAAATTCCTTGACAGCAACCCCGGTTGTTATTGTTTTCCTCACTGGGGGTTGCCCTTACACGCAAATGTTGCGAAACTACTTTTCAAACATTGCAAAGCTTCTGTCAGAAAGGCCCGCAAGGGAGTTGAACAAGTATTCCATGCAAGTGTGGAAAAGGTACACTTTGTAATTGCTGCCCAGAGTCCGGTTCTTGTGGAATAGCCGCCATCACCTAGGCTGATGGCAGCTGGATTTCAGACACAGTTGTGGCAGAAAAGGGGCTTGGTTCCATCCCAGCTCATACAACAACGAACCCCCCAAAGATACAGGATAGGATGTATAGCGTCTGCACAGACTTGAAGGACGAGAAATCCCCAAACCACCAAATCTGCACAAATGAATCCCTATAATCTGTAGCCTCCTTAGACCTATAAAAAAACCTTGGTTCTAAGAATTCGTAGGGTTATACTATAACAAAAATTAAGGATCATTCCTAAGGAGACTACAGTAATCAGTGACAGAACCACGAGATGGAAGACATACGGTGGAAACTAAAAATCCTGCATGACCCTAAGTACCTTATACCTTGGGAATTATGGTATTATAGTATATTAGGGTCATGCAGGATTTTTAGTATCCACAGTTGGAGGTCGTCCTGAGCCTGTTCCACAAGCTGTTATGAAATGCAGCAATGAATGGCTCATTACGTACTGGGGCTTGGTAGAGGATAGAGAATAGATTTCGGAGGATCCTCCTCTTGACATCATCTTGGTGCACTTGAATCTGGGAGGCACCTTTTTTGCCATGGTAGCCTGCCGATTCTGGCCATGCTTACTGACCAGTTAATATTTGAGAAATGAGACATAGGTAATGAAGTACTGGGACTTCCTACAGTTTCCTCCATGCAGCAGAGGCCCAATCATCTTTCGACCTCCAAAGACTACACATAACCCTAATAACCCTAATAACCCTAATATCCCTAATAACCGTAATATCCCTAATAACCCTAATATCCCTATCAACCCTAATAACCCTAATATCCCTAATAACCCAAAAACCTTAATAACCCTAATATCCCTAATAACAAGCTGCAATCTTCTCAACAAAGCAAAGTCGCCACGAGGACGGCCAAGCCGACCAAGTGCTCCAAGACTGGAAAAGCAAGTCAGGTTCGCAGAGGCTTAGTTGAAGACAAAGACGTACGTACATCCATCCATCCATCCATCCATCCATCCATCCATCCATCCATCCATCCATCCATACAATTATGCATACCTACACGCATACAAACACACACACACACGCGCGCGCGCGCACACACACCCACACCCACACCCACACCCACACCCACACCCACACCCACACCCACACCCACACCCACACCCACACCCACACCCACACCCACACCCACACCCACACACACACACACACACACACACACACACACACACACACACACACACACACACACACACACACACACACACACACACACACACACCCCCGC